ACGTTCTTAAGCATTCTTTTCCCTTAACATGAAAACATCACAAAAATGAAAACAGAACAAAAACACAAAGCATCCTTAAGTAACTAAACAGTCTCAAGAAACACAAAACTCAGTAACAGATGTTGCCACACCAAAAGCACAGAAGCAAATACGGTTCCATCTAGATCTGTACCTATGCTGACCTTGAGCATTTGTATGGCGTTCCTCACAATTAAAGCTGGTGGAGGATCAGGAGCTTTCATGAGAAAGTCAACAACTGGACAATTCACTGGAGCCAGTAGTTTTGTGTGTAAACAAAGCTCCTACAAGTTAAAAATTCAAAGTTAAGATTACACAAAAGAACTCCTACTGTGACTGATAACATGGCTAGACATTAATAACTACACTGAAGTTGTAATTTGTAAGAGAACACATGCCTGAAGCGGCATTCTTTGAAGTTCCGGAGTCTGAAATTCCAACATATTCTGAAATCGGAGCTTGCTGAAGAGATGGAAGCAGACTCCAGGCCGACAGCGCCCAGCTCTTGAACATAAAATATAGTAAGCTATTAATTGTAACATCTTTTAAACTAAAGGAGAAATGCAAAAAATCACAAAAAACAATGAATTCCCCCATAAAACATACATATACATGCAAAAACATCCCACAGACATGCAACAGAAGTGTACAAGCATATGTAACAGAAAGATAAAGTTGTCATTTAGCCAAATGTGAAGCGAGAGACTTCTAGAACATGAACCACTTTTGATACGACAGAAATTTATTGTGATTTTACCCCAACACTGACAGATTTAGAAAAACAAAAAACAAGTTAAGCAAGTGCTCCCTGAGCATCCAAAGTGTTTTGTTGTTTTTTGTTTCTTTGGTTGTTTGGGTTTTTTTTGTTTGTTTTCCAAGTCCAAGGTCAATCTGAATCACATTGTTTTTGCTATAAGGAATATCTTCATTTCTTCCTCTGGCAAAACCCTTCAACATGCCCCAAAGAACCAGGAGTCAGTCCAGAGTAAGAAGTAGAACAAGGGCTGAACAAATGAGAGAGGGGACAAACAGCAAACACACGCAGAACGAAATTCCAGCAGACTAATACCAATGCTGTAGCAGCAAATACAGCCCCCCAGGACCCACTATTGCACTTAGCCCTCACCCAGCACTGGGAAGAACAGAAGTCGGGAATCTATTTGACAAAGGAATGTAGGAATTACTGTTGAGTGTCTCTTCTATAGAGTGATGAAGCAGTATGGAAAACTTGTAACAGGCCTTCATTTTCCACGGAAGAAAAACGAACCTACTGTAAAGCTTTGGGAAATTCCCAAGTCACATTTCTATCAGGAAATTACTCTAAGGAAGTGCATGCTGACCCCTGCTTTTTTTGCAGAGAATTAATACTGGCCACTGTCAAACACTACATCGGACCTGAATAACACTGTTATCCAGCACTGCTCCTCTTACATTCACTACTTTATTCTTGGCGTACAGGGCAGCGGATGCTTGCAAGATAAAAATACATACAAAGTATTTATTACCTCCCTCTTCTCTGGATAGCACTGGCTTTTGAAATCCACACAGTTCTTAACATTGTAACACAACTCAGAGCATCAAAAGACTTCTAAAAAAGAAAAACAAGGAAATAAAATCCAGATTTACTAGGGTACATGAAAGAAGAATTACTAATGGCTTACACTGACAACAATGTTCTCCTCAAACCGATACTAAGCACCACTGCCTTCTGGCACACAGTTACATTCTACAGTACTTTGTTGTAGGTGAATTTACGCCACCTCTTTCACAACATCTTTGGGCTACAGTTTTCTAAATCGAAAACTTTCTAGGTTAAGTCAAGAAATGATGAGGTGTGCTTTGCACCATAACAGAAAGCAAAAATACGCTATTATGCACAGTGAAATTTTGCTCATTTCCTCACCTGGAAATTATGTCCTAGTTTTCCTGCATTTCATGCAGAAACACAAAATACTTGCATTAATATAAGAACCTGGTTGATTTACTGCGTGTATATCCCACGAAATCTACTCCATACACTGAGCCTCAAACTGTACTTTAATTATGTTATCTATGTTTATTTCACAAGTAACCAGTAAGGGGCATTCAATATATCATAAACATTTGAAAACTTAACATTCGATTACGCTTCATTCAGATACAATTAAAACAACAAAGGGAACTCCCGATATTCTCTAACTTCCAGGAGGATGAAGGTCTACACTAATGGGCTTTCCTTAAAATGTACACAGAAGTGACAAGTTACTTGTCTAATTAGCAGTAGCTTTTTCAGGGTTTTTAAGCAGCTGGCTGTCAGAAGGCAACTTTCTTGCATCTTTAGGATTTGTTATAAACATAAGGGATGTCAAAACTTCAGCGAGTTCTGTTACTTTACACACACCAGGTTTTTAGACTGCTAATAAAAAAGCACTACTTCCCCAAAAATCACAGCTTAGTATTATTATTTTAAAACAATCTTAGGAAGTTTACTTCCCCCCAGTCATACCTCCTTCATCTTTCCCGAATCAATAACAAATACAACATCACTGACTGTGATACTGGTTTCTGCAACATTAGTAGAAAGAATCTGCAGGCAGAAAAACATAACAGTAACTGTAAAAGCAAAGACTACGGAGATCAGTATCTGAAGAAGTCATCTGATACTTGCTATTTTGCGGATGCCAGAAGGCGGAGTTTTAAGCACATTCTTCTGATCCAAAGTTTGCATATTTGAATGAAGTGTGAATACTTGGTATCTAATGCAAAACAAAGAGTAGTCTGTAAGTATATTTAAAGAAAGAAAAAACTAGAGACAGTCATTGAAACCAGAAGTTTTACCTGTGCGCATTATCAACAAATCTCTTGTCATCAAAAATAATTCGGTCTCTCAAGCTAACTATCTCATCGTATCCAGGAAGAAATATTAAAACTGCTCCTAAAAGAGAGAATCCATTTACAACATTAAACCAGACACTCACCTAAAATATATAAAAATACCAGCTAGTGCCACGCATACTGCTACCCAGAAGGTCTTCCCTATTTGGTATTACTGACAAAATGACTCATTCGGAAGTTGAATCCACAGCAATAACATGAGACTGTGTATGTATACCTACCCCCATCAGAACTATTGCAGATGTTGTAAAGTAAGTGCATGATCAGGTCGAAATCCACCTTCTCGTCATTAAAACTGTGATGATAAGCTTTCAACAACTCTCTGTCCTCTGTTCCAAGGTCATCACCATTTGCTTGGACCAGAGAACTTTCATCCAGATTTCCAAATTCCATTGAAGCACTAAAACATACAAATATACATATACAGTTGCTTCCTTCGGGCTTGCATTCACCCATCAATTCAACCTCAGAAGATTACATGTAACCAATTTTTAAGTCTACACTGCAGCAGAACCGCATGTCCACAATATTACTGCCTTGAGCACTACCCTGCAGAGCAGGTGAACTTCAGCTGTTAGCATTAACTTTCCTACATTTCATCAAAACATAACCATAAGCAAACCTGAGAAGAACTATATATATGTCTTTCTTTTTAACAGTTCACTTTTTTTTTTTCATCTGCTAAGGGAAAGACATTCAAAAAGAGTATTTTCCAAACGCTTCCCTACCATCAGCTCCTTAGTGTTCTGGCTGTATGGTACTTGCATACAATGTTCATTTTATGTAGGTATATAATGCATCAACAGCACAGAATAAAACATCATAGAAAAGCACTATTTTCATTTCAGATGCTTACTTTGGAAACATGGTACAGAATCAGTACCTCCTCCACACGTGAAGGCTGCTCCTAAAGTAACGCCCTCTATTTTATTACATTGGGCAGGGTCAGAGGCAGATGTTGGCAGCAGAGGTTGAACCTTACTGCCAATATTCCATTACAGTCTTCTATGTAACAGATGGCACCAGAGGGGAAACCTGACCAAACGGCACTATATGCAAGGCTGTGTTGTTGAATTACTCCATGAGGAAAACAGAGTTTTCCTCACAACTTGCTGAACATTTGAGGAGACCAGACAGTGGGTGTTAGTAAAGTGAGGCAGAGGCAGGTGCATTTCAGCAGTGGTTACAGTGATGTGAAAAAACCAGCACAGCTGCCATACCTCAAAATGAAGAGCATCTTGATCAGCTCATCCATGCAAATCAGCTAATGGTGTTGAAAAAATAGAACTGTGTAGCTGAGAACTTGCACTACCAAATAGTGTCATTTGCTCTTCGTATCTGTTGTCATTTCCAGGGAAGTAGAAGGCATAACTTTCAAAGTGACCTACGTATTTATGTATGTTACAATGACTCATTTCAACTAGGAATGGAAATTCCAACTATGATGACGTGGGACAACAAATGCTAATGACAGAAAGAAGTTTGTTTACCATATTTATCATAGGAGTTGCTTAAAAAAAAAAAAAAAAAAAAATCACTACAATGCTAAACTTTTCTTTTCTTTTTTTTTTAAATATGCTTCCAAAATGTTCCAGCTCCCAATCTTGTTGTTTAGGTCATATTTTAGAGTATACAAAATTAAACTGTTCTGGTTAAAAGGTGGGAGACACAGATGTTTACGTACTATATTAAACAATTGTTTTAGCGAAGCCGCCATAGCTTACCTGTAAGATTCCAACAGGTCAACCACCTCTGTTTGTCCAAAGTGCTTAGCCCAATCTAAAGCCATCCTGAAAGAGTTGTATATAGACTTCATTATTTGTCACTTCAAATCATATGTATGGGCAGCACCTTACATGAGATGACAGCTGACACACTGCGCTGCTTTCATTTCTGCATTATTATTTAAGCAGCGCCTTCACTGATGGATCCACATCTTCCCAAATGCAAAAACGTGTATAGTATGTATAACAAACAGCTACATGATTTTTAAATAGTTGCAAATTGTGACCAAGTATGAATGCTACCTCTACATAGCAATCACAGAATGGCCAGGGTTGGAAGGGACCTCAAGGATCATCAATCTCCAATCCCCTGCCACATGCAGGGCCACCAACCTCCATGTTTAATGCTAAACCAGGCTGCCCAGGGCCCCATCCAACCTGCCCTTGAACACCTCCAAGGACGGGGCACCCACAACCTCTCTGGGCGACCTGTTCCAGTACCTCACCACTCTCTGGTTAAAGAATTTCCCCCTGACATCCGACCTAAATCTCCCCTCCCTCAACTTAAAACCATTTCCCCTCATCCTATACGTATCAACCCTTTCAAAGAGTTGATTCCCCTCCCCTCCGTAGGCTCCTTTTAAGTATTGAAAGGCTGCACTGAGGTCACCCCGCAGCCTTCTTTTCTCCAGGCTGAACAAGCCCAGCTCCCTCAGCCTGTCCTCATAGGGGAGGTGCTCCAGTCCCCTGATCAAACAGGAAGGAGTAGAATACACCACTATTTCAAAACACAATATCAATGCACACACCTAAGCATTTCTAAGGTATCCTTTTATTAACTCCTTTAAATAATCTTGAGAATTCATGCCCCAGATGTTTTTCTCCAAAACATCTAAAAATGGCAAACTTTTTGATGCCTTAAGGGAACCATTCTCTTCACAAAGCAGATCATTCTGTTTTCCCTTTAAACTCCTTTCTTTCTCTAATTTTTCCAATAACAGACACCTAGAATCCTAATTTTTACCCTTCCACACTCAATGTTTTATGGTACCCCCCCCCCACCGCTTCCTAAACATAAACTCATGGTCATATGATCTGAGTTTTTAGATATTAATATGGATTTTCTCACATGCTCCACCATGCCTGCAGCCATAACACTGCAAAGACCCTTGCCCCTGTAGTGTTTTTTTTAAACCTCTACAGGCTGTCGTCTTAAAGACTACAATAATCAAGTGTTTTGAGTGTAATTAAATCTATCAAGAAAGACTACCATCTTCCCCTAATCAGAGGTTATAGCAGGTTCCTTGAAAGAGGAAACATATAAACCATTTTAAAGACTGCTTCTGAATTACTTTAGAATTTATGGAAAACAATCTGATGAAACAAACTCAACATCATTACGACTATTAAATCTTACTACCACCTACAGCATTTTGATAAATCACTGAATTAAAAAGTTCTGTTACGTCTTAAGTTCTCATGTTTATATTGGGAAATAAATCCTTCACTTCATCTGTTTGTTTTTACCAGCCATTGGATGATTTGCAGTGGACACTTGCTCCCATACTGATCAACTGCTCTACTTGACTTAGAAAGCCTCTCCCTGCAGCTATCATTAGTGCAGTTGCACTGGTTTCACTGTGCCTATAATCAACTGAGAAGTAAAACAAATTAGCAAAAACAATACACGCTTTTTTTCATCTGAACAAAACATGAATATGACTTTCAAGATCTACACCAACAAAATTTTATTCCTTCCCATCCACCACTCAATTCACATGAATTCAATATTTTTAAAATAGTATTAACCTATCTGTCAATACTTCCAAACAAGTACAGTAACAAATAAGTGAACAGTTAATGAATTGCGTAATACATTCATTTTGCAAGTAGGCAAATAGAAAGAAAAAAATAACACTTGAAAAGTGCTAACAGAAAATCAAGTCACTATGTGATTTCTTTTTCCCTCGTGCAACAAGAGGAACAAAAGCAACTTACCACTGATGTTTTCAGTTAAGATGAAATGGAACACCTGAGCAAAGGAATCAACATCTTTATGTAACCAGATGTCAGAAAGACAAGAATCCATTTCTTTTATTAGCCATGGTTCAAGACAACTTGCATCTCTCTCAACCTGAAAAACAAGATTAAAATGATGAGTCTCTTCAAGGACTTCTTTTGTTCTTTATTCTCACAGACGAGGTACTAAGAAATCTAGTTTTTAAACAACTTGAAATACACAACTAAGTTATGAGTTAATGGATTTATGGTATCTTGCGCAAGTACATAAAACAGTACCAGACTAACCACTTTATCTAAAAAACTATTTAAAAACATCACAATGAAAGAGCATACTTTGGCTGTATTTGAGAACAGTTTACCCTAATCCCCAAAAAAGGAAGACAATGTAGAACATGATAATCTTCTTCTAGAAACTCTACAGGAATAATATCAAAAGACTGTTTGGCAATGGAATGCATTTTAAAGATCATCCAGTTCTAATACCCCAGCCACGCACAAGGTTGCCACTGACTGGATCAGGTTACCCAAAATCCCACCCAGCCCAGCCTTGAGCTCCTCCAGGGATGGGGCATACACAGCCCCAGCACTCTCCGAGTAAAGAAGTTCTTCCTAACGTGTGAACTAAATCTGTCCTCCTTTAGTTTAAGGGCATTAAGCCTCGTCCTAACTCCGTACTTTTTGATAGAATCCCACTATCATCTTTCCTGTAAGCCTCCTTTAGGCACTCAGCTCTCACTGTAACCATTTCTTCTCCAGGCCGAACAAGCCCAGCTCACCTAGACTGTGTTTGAAAAAGGGGTGCTTTAGCCCTCTGTTCATCTTTGTAGCTGTCTCTGGACCCATCCCAACAGGTCTTCATCCCTCCAATATCTAGCAATAACCTCAAAATCCTCACTAAACTGACGCTCTATCTACGCAAGTTTGTTTTCCTTAGATAAGCAGGACATCTGGAGCCCAAAAACAGTCTCAACATTCCACAAGCCATGGGGAGGTCTATACAATAATCAGAAACAGTTTTTTGTAAATAACTTCACTGACCAAATATGGACCTGACCGACCCCGCACATGATCGGTTTTGACCATATACCATCACCCTGTGGAACCTCACAGCCACCAAAGACCTCCTGCAAGAATCCCACATTAACACAGCACAGGCGTAGTGTTCTACTTCAGTACACATACCAACTCTCAGAATAGGTGGGTGCTTTGCAGAAACTGTATGAACATTCAAATGATGAATGCATATAACCTATGTAATTGCAGTTCTGTTGGCATGGTTGACTTTGCAGGCTGCAACTGAGCTTTTTTTTTTGTTAATGCTGCATTTTTCTTCTACCAATACCCATACAACTTCTTCTGAAGAGCTTCTTTCAATTCATTCTCCACCCAGCCTGCATTCATTTTTGGGACTGTCTTACCTGAAGAGCAGGACCTTGACTTTACTGCATTTCATGAGGCTGGCACGGTCTCAACTCTTCAGCCTGTCAAGATCCCTCTGGAGGGCAATGTTCACTCCAACACGTTGACTGCACCACTCAGTTTTGTCTCACCCACAAACTTGCTGAGATGCACTTAATCCCACTTTCCATGTTACCAGCAAAGATGTCAAACACTATCAGCTCCAATACAGGCCCTTGAGGGTCAATACTCATCACTGCTCTCCACCTGGACATCAAACCATTGACTGCAACTATATGAATTAAAAAATCCAGCCCATTTCTATTCTGAGTATCCAACCCATCAACTTCACATCTCCACATTTCAACAATGCTGTATAACCATTACTGAAGACCATCAAGTAGCCAAATACCATTTGCCCTTAGAGAAGACATACTGACTGACCCCTGTAATCTGTTTTCCACGTGCGATAATACAGTCTACAGAAGGATATGCTCTACGATCTTGTCAGGCACAGAGAATGAATCGCTTGTAGTTCCACAGATCTTCCTTCATCTTTTTAATAATGGGGGTTCTATTTCTTTTGTCCGGTCACTGAGAATTTCATAACGACTTCTCAAAGGTGACACACAGCAATTTCATCTGCCACTTTCCTCAGTACCCTCAGATGCACTTCACAAATACCACAGACTTCTGCACACACAGAATTCTTAGACGGCCCCAAACCACCTAAGCACTTCATTTTCCCAATATCGTTAGAAACAAGTTTCTAAAAGATTTACCACATAAACCTAAAACATTTCTTCCAACACAGAAAAAACTTACCAGAGCATTAAAAACTGTGTCACCACTGCTGTCCAGCAGATTATACTCTTCAGATACACTTGCAACAGATCTTCTGCTCCGTGATTCTGGGTTGCTATTACTTTCTTGAGCAGAACACCACTCAGTGAGAGTGCTTTGCTGCTTTTCTTCTAGAAGGTGTAAAATGTTATCAAAACAGTATCAGAAGCACTTGTAATCATCTGTTGCTTTCAGCTACAAAAATCGTTAAATCAAACCACAGGCTCACCTGTAGCATTCTCTTTTATCCAACCAAGAATGCTGACACCAATCCAATATAAGTTTTATGATTAATGGCACACAAAGTGCATGACTGCAAATGTCTGCTCTAAGAGTAAGGTAAAAAATATCATTTGGATGCTACTAACAGGGACTGTTTCTGTTCAAGATGTACAAAATCCTGCACTCTGGATGGACGGCTGCCTGCAATTCAGTTTGTACCCAGTGTCAAAACATCATATCATCTTGTTCTGTATTTTTCATGGAGGCAACAATTACATGCAAATCTACACCATCATATTAGCAAAACATTTACAAAATGAAAGCAAAAAGCATACCCCGCTGAAAGGCTTTTTAACTGAACAATCAACTTCAATAATGTCAACATTACAAGTTTAGAGATACTTGCTGGTATCTAATCATAGTATTACATAGTATACATTAAAGACAACAGAATCATCCGATTCCACTGTTCTCAATGCTCAATAAGCCTCAGTACCCACTCGTACAATTAAGAAGTATACCAACCTCGCTGCTTCTCCTTTCTGTATTTTATCATCTCTTTGTTTGTGTACCCAGTGCTTCGTAAAATGTCCTCCAAAAACATCTCTTTAACTTCAAATGGTCTTCCTTGGACTGCAAGCACAAATAACTAATGACATTAGATATCCCCTAGTTTGACTGAAAATCTCCATTAAAAAAAGACTCTCTAAATATTAAAAAAAAAATCAATTAAGAAATTAAAAGCAGAAACTTTAAGGAGTTATTACTTTCCTTGAAAAAAAATCCTTGAAGAATACCTGAGAGTTTGCTTTCTCAAGACTGCTGAGCCGCAAGACAAAAAAAGATTAAGAAGGGAAATCTCAATGAAAAACAACATGTATCACTAAACTCTTCAATGCTCTCTGAGCATTCTGGAAAGGGATCTACATGTCTGACAGAATAGTCATCAAAGTTCTATCAAAATGACAAAGAAATCTAGTATTTTTGTTGTAAGATTATCACCTGGATTACCAACATAATAATAACATTGTTTTAATGCAATACTCCGTAAGAAGTTTGTCACTTTGTGTACAAATGCTTTGCTCAAGACACACACACAACATTTCAGTTTCTTCAGTTACCTCAGCCCTTCTTTGCTGAGTAAGGCCTGACCAGCCAGACAATCCAAACTGTCTTTGTCTCCTGAGAACCAACCCCTATTTCTTTTTCAATATCACTGTTTTCTAAGCCATTCTAAAAGGCACGACAGGATCCTTTTTCACAAGAAAAAAATTCTCTAGATTTCTGGTCCTTCAACTAGACATTTGCCATAGCTGAGTTTAAATTACTCAGAACCTCTCTCTCCTTCAGGAATAACTGTATGTACTTACGTATAATACAAGGACATCATTGTTGAAAAATCAAAAGAAGCAGGTCACTCATGCACAAGGCCTGCAAGCCAGGAATGTGGAAAAAAATGGAAAAAACCCACATCTCCCACACCTTACCTTTACTAAAAATCCATCAAATCAGCTATTAAAATAAAGGCAACTTTTCTACACTTGAATGTAATCTAACTACAGATTACCAAACCCAAACATAAACTATCACATCTTTTCTCAAATTTTACCAGGAGTAACAGTTGACAATTGCCTTAGAAATCATGTGATCAAAACATGAGAAAAACAAACTGCCTAGCTCTGCATTTTTGAAGTGACTAGGTACAGTCATCTGTGCTTCAGCCAGTAACAAACAGCCATCTATGAAGCCGGAAAAACTAAAACTTGTTGGAATTAGTTGAAGTGTATTGTACTCTTGCAGCCCTCAAGGACTTTCTCATCCTGCAGATCAGTACAGTAAGAACTTCTCCTTTTCTTGAGCTGAGTATCAGGAGACAAGGCATCTCTGCACTTACAGTGCTTCTAGCAATAAAATACTGAAATAGTTGCAAACAGATGTAGAAAAAAAAAAAACAAAAAAGCAACAGTAAACTTAAAAAAAGCAAAAATAACAAGCATTTTCTGATTCTCACTCAGTGTCCATGTTACCTCATCCAGATTAACAGCAGATTAACAGCACTGACAGCAGAAAAACAGGTATATTCAGATCCAGGAGTTCACAAATACTTACTCTGTATTACTGGGCAACTTCCAAAATACTCAATAAAGAGATTTGCATCTAGAGCAGCACTAGAAATGATTAATTTTAAATTAGTCTGGTTTTGCAATATATCTCGCAGTTTTATTAACAAGAAATCACTGAATCTATCCCTCTCGTATACTTCATCCTAAAACAAAAGGCAAAAAGAAACCAGTAGATAAACATTCACAAACAGGAATTTCAAAACTACAGTTTATCGTTCGTAGGTTCACTGAAGATGCATTGAAAAGCAGAATTCTAACTCAGTTCAACCAAGCGCTTTTAACAAGAAAGCATTCAAGTAAAAAACTTCTCAAAGCTTCACAAAAATATTGGAGCAGGCTGTGCTGTTAATGAACAAGGAAGAGAGAACTTCATTTCAGAGGCTGAATGACCCGAGATGATCTTAAAGGTTGCTTCCAACTCAGACCCTTCTATGATTCTATGAAGTGCATTTCTGAAACTGTGCTAATTCTCTCTGAACAATTATCATCTCTGAGATACTGACAAGAACCACAGTTCCCACAAATCTTATTTTAATCAACTCTTCAAAGGTGAAGCACTAAAACGAATATAGTATCACATAATAAGAAAATAAATCTGGTTGCTTAGGTCCATTAAGTCACGTACAAAGCTTAACATAAGTTAAGGCATTTGGTTGGTAATAATTGATTACAGCAATTATTTACTTGGTGAGTTTTGTTTTCTCACACATCAAGAATTTATCAGACAGGAAGCCAAGCACTTTTAGTTTTCAGCAGTGGAGAAATTGTTCCAGGTGATTACATACTGTGATTCCACTGAGTTCTCAGTCCCCGTGACAGAAATAACACTACACCTTATTTTGAAAACCCCTGTGTTAACAAGTGGACTGCTGAACTGGTACTGCAAAAATAAGTACACGATACAAGAAATTCTGACAGATGCACAATGAGTCACATACACATATGCCTGCAGCTTCCCTATTCTATGACAAAAAAAACCTACAGAAATGTTTAGACATCTGTCCTTCACAACATCATCCTAGAACTAAATGCTATAATTAGCACAAAAATAAGATACTTTAACCAAAAAAGTACACATTCCAAGAGAAAAAAATTCAGTACGTACAGGAAAAAAAAAAATAAATCAGATTCTGCCCAAATAAAAACACTTCACATGCTTAATTAGGAGAACAAATTTCAAAAGCAATACGTATTGCTTCACCTTACATGAAATTTAACAGGATTCTTACCACAATAACATGTGTTACTGTTGATAGAGCACTGTCTCCTGCCATCAGCGTGCGAAGCAGTATGCCATTTGTGCAAAACGTTAACAGTGTCCTTGGAGAAACCCTATTGAACAGTTCATGAAGATGATTCAGACTTGCAGCATTCAAACTAAAGGATTGATCAGCTACTCACCAGAACTGGAATTAGATTACAGTTACTCACCAAGTAATTCAACAATACTGTGTGTTTTTAAACTGCCCTTATTGGCAGAGAACACCACAGAATTCTAGTGCATACATTCCAAAACTTCAGACGCAGGATTCATGTTTAAATAAATTCATCAGCAAATAAAAATGACCTCTGAGAGTCTCTATGTGGAAGATTTGCATAGATTACTTTGCAAAAAACAGTTTCCAATTTTTCAACTGGGACTGTATTATTTGCATTTGCCTGCACTTGACTGAATCACATAAAATCAGTTGATCCTTTCCAAACGCATCAATTTTTCCTTGAAGAGGAAAAAAGCTACTGCTTTAGTAACCAAGGGAATTAGCTGTGCAAAGAAAATCAGTTGTTGCCACTACTTTCTCCAGAACTGACAGTTCTGAAAACTTCCTCACTATCATACTCTACAGTTCTTTTCTCAAAGACAAATGAACCCTCTACTTACCATACACTTCCCAAGTTTGGAATTCATCCATCCTTTGCCTTCAAAAACTCCTCTACATCTTACTGAATTTAAGGAACATATCCAAGATGGATTACTTACTCTTCAGTATTCTCTCATTCTCTTCTAGAAATCATGACTGCTATCTAACACTTAAGAAGATCCAACAATGAAGTACTTGTGTTACTGTTATGTTCTTTTTTTCATTACTTAAAAATAACTGTGTTGGAAATACTGATCTCTCAAAAACTTTTTTGCTATTGTTTTTTTTAAGATGTTCCACACGACTTCCAGTATTTCTTCCGCCTTGATCTGGCCTATGGTTTGTTCTTGAATAAGAACAATATATAGCAATTTGCAACTTGCAACTGAATAGCAACTATAATACTCCCACATATTAACCATTCAGTTCATTCGCAATCAATCTTCTCTATCTCTTTAAATTCTTAATAGGCTTCTAAGTTTTCACAGACACACTCCAATTCTTCTTCCATCAGCTACGTGTTATCTTCATTCACATAAGCAACAGAGCCAGTCATACCCTTTGCCTTCAGATTTGCTACAAACCGTCACCATGAAGTTTCTGTTAGTGTTCTAGTTCTCTTACACATTGTCAAAGCTTATGGAACTTTCCAATCTATGACTGGGGAGAAAAAAGGAGAGGAAAACATAGTTGTTCTGAAAACAATACAAGAGATTTCTCTCTCCCTACAAGTAGAAATCAAAGGAATACGCCTCTGATTCTCTTAAATAAGAAAGCTTACTACTTGATGCTGCAACCTATAGAAGGAAATCTATCCTTTTGCCTGAAACAACACATCCTACCTATAATTTCTACACTCTTTTCTATGTTGTAATCCCCAAAATACTGCAGCTTTAACATACATGTGAAAATAAGGTCAGCTGCCTTAAAGAAATGTTGTTAGTACCTGCTTTCTAATCGGATCTGATAGCCAACTGTCTGGCCAACCTTTTCCCTTCTTTCTGCTGCCACTCTTTCAGCCACAGCAATAACTGCCAAACGTCTTGGCTGAGTGCAAAACATACGACAGGGAATTCCATTTTCGTAGCAGTCATCAAGAAGGAACTGAGGAATCTATAAAAAAGGGTTTCAAAATACTTGTTAGCTGCATGAAGCAACAGGTGCTGAGGTTTTTCTTCTTAAATAGTGAAGCAACTTAATTACATCTCAATATTATACAAATAGCAGAACTGCAAATTTACAATATTCTACTCTTGAGACTAAATACAGAACTGGCTTTAGAAGAAAAACAACTAAACACAATAACAGATCCATTATTTTAAATAACATAAATTAGGCCAGTGAAAAGCTAGAATTTCATCAGAAAATTATGCTGAACCTTATATTTTTAATAACTACCTGCTGACTTGGTCTTGTAATTCACTTCCTTGCATTTCAAATACAACACCTCACTCTACAGGAAAACAACAGTCTAAAAATTAGCAAAATTAAGTCCCCTATTACATAAACATCTTCTAAAATCGCATTAGTTTCACATAAACACTGACACCTTTTACTTTAATAAAAAGCATACTTGAGTGGTTTTTCCTGATCCAGTCTCTCCTACAATGAGAACAACTTTATTTTCCTTTATTATTTTGACAATTTCCTCCTTCTTGTCAAAAACTGGCAATGACTGCCTAAAGGAGTCATATTCCGACTCCCCTCTTTTCAGCGGGACTTGAGGAATACCACTGCTAAGCCTTCCGCTCGTCTTCCCAACTTCTTTGTTTTCTGTGGAGAGAACGGGACAATTTAGCCATAGATACAAAGGAACTGCTACACACGCAATATCACTTAGCTATCACAGAAATGAACACTTCTGACTTGGCATGCATCCCCCCCATGAAGCGATGAACCCATCGCATATTTACCAGAAATATTCATAACACTGTGTTCTGCTATGGCGTTTGAAACAGATACCGTTCAAAGGAATTACAACTTCCAAACACATTTTGAACAAATCTAGACTTATTTTCTTGGCTTTTGATCACATTTACACTCCACAGTTTGCCTAGAAGTATTCACTGTAGAGTTAAATGAACAGAACTCTTAAGAAACCTCAACTGGAAAATGAGAGTTTTCTCAGTATAGCTATAGGGGATTCTCTTGCAATCCTGCATCCAGTCTTCTCCGCTGCCTTTATCAATGACCTGGAAAAGGGATAAAATGCAGCCTGAGCAAGACTGATGATACAACGTTGGGAAGCCTGACTGACACACCAGAAGGCTGTGCTGCCATACAGTGAGACCTGGATGGGCTGAAAAGTTGGGCAGAAAGGAACCTTATGAAGTTCAACGTGGGCAAGCAAAGAGTGCTATAGCTGGGGGGGTGTAACTGTATGTATAGTCAGGGGCTGAAATGCTGGAAGGGAGTTCTGCAAAGGACATGGATGTCTTGGTGGACAACAGGTCAACGGTGAGCCAGAAGAGTGTCCCTGTGGCAAAGAAGGCCAATGGTAGCATGGGGCGGATTACAAAGAGGGGTGATTTAGTGGCGTTAGACTACATGATCTCCAGAGGTCCCTTCCAACTCCTTACAGGTTTGTTAACAAGTTCAGAGGGGAAAAAAAAACTTGACTGTGATTCACATCCACTCCTCCACATTCTCTGTGGTCTTGTGTTACCTCATTCAAGTCAGTCTTATTTACATGACGTTCTAGTCAGTAAGACTGATCTAGACCCCCACGCATAGACAGCACACTACCACTTAATAGAAAGCAAGACTTAAGCATTCGTAGCAGCTGCAACTCTTCAGAGCTACTTCAAATTCTAAAATTCCTTTTCTTTGTTGTTCCAGAAGAATTAAAAGCTTGTTGTAAATTCAATGACATATTCATAACATGATTAACAGACATACATACTTAATTGCAAGAAGTGCTGCCTTACCAAGACAGACATAGCCTCACAGTTCAAAAGACCTGAATACCCAAATAGCTAACCTGCTGGGAAACTGAAACATCATAGAAAGAGAACTAGAAGAAGAAGCACTTTGAGCACAAACCAGTGAAAAAGAGAAGAATGGAAGACCTGTTTTCTGTGCACTGCACCCATCTTTGTGCACAGAAACATAACAAAACCTTCTTATAAGGCCGTTAAGGCAAACATCTTATTCAAAGATTCTCTTTAATGACAGAAAACATCAGAAGTATGCCTTCTGACAAACTCTTTCATGTTCTGGAAATCAAGAAGTCTGAACAGTAAATTCTGAGGCATCACGTCTACTGCCAGAAGACAAAACAAAACAGAATTTCTCATTTTATCAAAAACAGGACTTTCCACAAGCAGAACAAACAGCCTTATATTCACGCAGGCTGTTCTTACACAGTGACCTTGATAGCATTAGTTACAAAAGTAACTTAGCATAGGCAAGACATTCAAGTATGAGTGGCATTAATGCCCAAGTTACACTTCCTCGTGAAACCAGTTTGAAAACATGCCACATTAAGAATTAAGGGTGAAAAAAAACTTTCTGTGTGCAGTTTGGTTGTGGTGTTTTTTATCTGTTGTGGTTGTTTGTTTTTTTTCAATAAGCAGTGTTGATGCTCAAATCACACACAGCACGTACCAGTTTCAACAGCAAATGCATTTCCTCGCTGCTTCTTTGGCAGAAGTTCTATTCGTTCTTTCTTTGTGAGAGGAAATCTTTGAATTAAACTGTGAACAGCCTGTTTCGTTCTGGGAGTCAAACAACAAGTCATTTCTGCATGAGCTACTTGCGATCCACTCTTTTTCCTGACAGTTAGATATCGACTCGATCCTTTTCTGAGAGAGAAAAAGTTCTCAATAAGTAATCTCTTCAACTCTTTGTAAAGATCTTTGACTAAAAGTGTTTCAAAACAGCTGTCAGATTAGTTTCAAATAAAACACGATAAACAAATGTCCAAATAGCATCTTACGCATAACACTTCTAAGAAAAGGGCTTTCAGTATGCAACAGCAAAACCACTCACTATTACCACAAGTCAGCATGACATACTGCATAACTGGGATGCCTGTGCTCAGCACAACCTCACAGTCTCATAACGTCATACTGTTTTGCTAACTTCCTTTTAAACACTGACTGCTATGTTCACAGTCTATAAGATAGCAAGCCTCATCAATCACTGTATCAATCAACACTGAGAGATATTATACAGAATTGATTTACAGAAACATGTAAGAGAGAAAAAAAAAATCACTGAGTAGAAGTAACAGAAAAACAAGCAGCCCTCTCTAAATATACCAAGCCTTAAACAAATCTAGAAACACACTTTTTAAAGTAACTTCATATCCAGCAAACCTAAAAGACATCTGCAGAGATTTCAAACTGATGGCAAGTTAAACCCCATCACACTTCTCTCACTCTCACTGTTCAAAATAACAAGAGGGATGGGTTGGAATTAAGGGCAGTTTAATTACAAAAAATGAAAAGCCAAGACACAGCACACATACCCTCTACTTTACATCAGCAAGCCACGCTCAGCCAGATTTTGGAAAGCAGGGCCTCAATATGCACTGCAAGCCCTCCCCAAAACTCCCTCCATCTTCTGTCGACCCCTCTGCACTCCCTCAGCCTCCAGGCTCCGGGCACATTGCAGAGAGATGCCAGAACAGCCCAGCAGCAGCCCAGTCCAGTCCCGTGCCAGCCATAGATAAGGAGCATGGCTGTGGTGAACAGTAACACCATCCCCGCCAGGACAACCTCCATCCCTAGCCCCATGCCATTCACCTTATGCTGAGCAATACGTACGTCCAGCCTTTTGGCTAGCCTGGGTTGCAATGAGAAAAGAGAAACTGTCCTGTGCCTTTTTACACACACTATTTTTTTTAAAACAAAAAAGAGAGTAGCAGAAATATGAAACTAGTTTTGAAATTATTTCTAATTTGAAGTAGATATTACTCCTAAAATAAAATTATATTACAAGCTATTTTATATTTTCTGCAGCCTTCCTGAAAATTACAAAACTAGTCAGCATTGCACAAGTACTCGAGATACTTCTTCGGCAGTGAACATGTTACCTTATTTTATGAAATAACACAAGCTTAAGTTGAATAATTAAATAAGAAAACTTACGTATCTGCTTAACAAAACGCACATCTTCACAGCCCCAGTCACATAGCTAGATAGGCTGAAATACTGTTGTCTGAATTGGCTGTGTTTTGCTCACTAAGTGGCACAAGCACGTCCAACATGCAATAAACACAGATTTCAATTCAACTAAGCGTGGCAGAACCAGAAGCAGTCGGCATTGTGCCCTCCTCTCCACAGCATTCAATTACCTCCTATGCAATCTGCAGTTGAACTGCGCAAAGCCAACTCAGAATCATTTGAAGCATCAAGGTTGGAAAAGACTTCCAAGATCATACAGTCCAACTGCCCATCTATCACCAAGATTTCCCACTAAGTCAAGCCCTCCAGTACAACAGCCAAATGGTTCCTCAACAACTCCACGACTCACGACTTCACCACCTCTTTGGACAGTCCAACCCCATGCCTGACCACGCTTTCAGAAAAGTTTTCCCCACAGCCAAACTGAATCCCCCTAGAACAACTTCAGGCCATTCCCTCTAGTCCTGTCATCAGTTACACAGCAGAACAGGACAACTTCCACCTCAACACAACCTCCCTTCAATTCTTATAGAGAGCAATAATGTCTCTCCCGAGCCTTCTCTTCCCCAGACTGAACAGTTCCAGCTCCTTCAGACACTCCTCATAAGAGTTGTGCTCCAGACCCCTCACCAGCTTCACTCTTCTTCTCTGAACACACTCCAGGGGCCTCAAGGTTTTTCTTGCAGTGAGGGGTCCAAAAATGAACACAAGGTACGGCGTCACCAACGCTGATTACAGAGGGATGATCCCTTCCCTGCTCCACTGTTGGCAACACTACTTCTGGTACAAGCCAGGATGCCATTGGCCTCTTTGGCCATCTGCGCACACTGCTGGCTCCTGTTCAGCAAAGTGTCAACCAATACCCTCAGGTCCCTTTCCTCTACACAGTCTCCCAACAACTCTGCCCCAAGTCTGCACCGTTGTCTGCAGAACCCAGCACTTGCTCTTGTACTTCAGCCCATCGACTTCAGCCCAGCTGTCCAGGTCCCTCTGTAGGACATTCCTACCCCCAGGCACATCAACACTTCCTCTCAACCTGCTGTCATCTGCAAACCTACTGAGTGTGCATTCAGTGCCTTCAGCCAGGTCATCAATAAAGACACAAAATACCAACCCCCAGCAAACGCTCAGGACTGGTCACCAGCTGAATTTAACTCCATTCACCACCACTCTGTGACATCAGCCATCCAGCAAACAGCGTACCTGGCCAGACCATGAGCTGCCAGCTTCTCCAGAAGAATACTGAGGGAGATCATATCAAATGCTTCGCTGAAGCCTAGGTAGACTACATCAACAGCCTTTCTCACATCCACCAGGTGGGTCGCTCAACCACAGAAAGAGATCGGATTGGTCAAGCAGGATCTGCCTTTCAGGAACCCATGATGGCTAAGCATGATCCCCGGGCTGTCCCACACGTGCTGTGCAGTCCCTGTGTGATCTGCTCCATAACCTTTCCTGGCACAGAGGTCAGGCTGATAAGCCTGTACTTTCCCGGATCCTCCTTATGACCCTTCTTGTACGTGGGAGTCACGCTGGCATGCCTCCAGTCCTCTGGAGCATCTCCTGTAGACCAGGAATGCTGTCAGATGATGGAAAGTGGCTTGGTTGTCAACTCTGCCAGCTCCCTCAGCACCCTCGCATGAATCCCATCCAGCCTCATGGACTTGCAACAGTCCAGGTGGGACAGCTGGTCTCTAGTTGTTTCCACCTGAATTGTGGACACTTTATCCTGCTCCCCATCTGAGACTTCCAGGTCAGAAGGCAGAGCACCACGAGGATAATTGATCTGACTTTAAAAACATATGTAAAGAAGACACTGAGAACCTCAGTCTTTTCCTTTTCTTCAATGCTCACAAATCCCTGCTGCATCCACTAAACGACGGAGATTCTCCTTAGCCCCCTCTTACTGTCAATGTACTTGGGAAAAAAAGTTTTTTGTTCTCCTTTACCCCAACAGCCAAGTTGAGTTCAAGCTGGGCTTTTGCCTTTCTACTTCTCTCGCTGCACATCCTAACAACTTCTTTGTACTCTCCTAGAGTTGTCCTTCTTTTTCTTCTGCAGGGGGTAGATTCTCTTTTTCTCCTGGAGCTTCCGGAAAAGCTCCCTGCTCATCCATGCTTGCCTTCTTCCCCACTGGTTCATCTTGTGGCAATGGCAGCCTGCTCCTGCACCTTCAAGATTTCCTTCCAACCTACACAGACCCCTTTACCCTTCAGGACTGAATCCCAAGCATCCCTTTCTATCAGTACCCTGAACAGTTCCAAGTTCACCCTCTGGAAGTCCAAGGCAGCAGTTTTACTGGTCCCTCTCCTGGCTTCACCAAGAATCAACATCTCTACCATTTTAAGGTCATTCTGCACAAGACACCTACCAACCTCCACATCTTCCACCACTCATTGTCTCTTTGCAAACAGCAGGTCTAGCGTGACACATCCCCTTTTAGACTTTCTTACCAGCTGCATCAGGAAATATCGCTCATAAAATACTGCTAAAAATAACAGTGTTAAATGTTTACGATCACATAGGGCCACATTACTAGCTGTCCCGGGGCCACTAGCACCCCACACGTTGAACAGACCTCACTTAGGACATCTCTATCCTCTGATCATCCTTACTTCCCACATAAAGATTTAGCTTCTTCTTCACCGTTGTTCCCTGCCTGTTAACTAATACATGCATACAATATTCCCATTCAGTGGGCCTCTCTCAAAATGTCCACAGAACTAGCAATGACTCAGGCCTCGTCCATCAACATACTGGCTCAGGAGCAACAGCGCATTGGATTTCTAAATGTCAACACCAGCCTAACTTAAGTCATTGCTACACCCACCTGGTTCCCTGCAAAGTCACCAGCTCTTGTCACCAGCTCTTCAGTGCCTTCCTACAACACCTAACTCAGAAAACACATTTGTTTCTCTCAAGGCTCCATGAGGCACACGCCTCACGTCCCCATCCTTCCACATCATCCACCAAGGGAAGCAAAAGCAAGACAGTGTCCCAAAACGGTTTGCCTTTTCACAAGGCAGGAGCAACCTGCCTTCCCCAGCCCCAGGCCCCCCTCAAGATGACTTCATCGCCTCCCACATGCATGGTGGCTTTGCTGGAGCAGGGACAAGGCAATTCCCAGTCCTTTTGCCCAACAGAAGTCTGCCAGTTGGAGAGAGCCTTTGTAATCTGCCAGTGCAATCCCACAGCAGCACGCCCAATCCTGCTCTAGTCACAGGCGTCGAGCAGAACACCACATGGGCTGCCACAGGGAAAGTTACCTCTACCCCAGACAGGTCCAGTCCTTCTCTTAATTGCCTCTGTACAGATACCCGTAACACAGTCATATGTAAACAGATATCTTACTACTGTACTGGGTTTACGCAGCTAGGTTTTGGCAGCAGGGGGCTTCTGTGAGCAGAACTAGCAGCTGGGCCGTGTCAGATCACAGCCAGCTCCAGAGCCGAGCCATGACTGCTGCTGAGTGTGCTCTGGGAGAGGGGATTACACAGAAGGAGAACTGCTGCACAACAGCAGCTGGGAGAGAGCGAGAAATCTAAGAGAAACAGCCCCAGAGGTACCAAGGTCAGTGCAGGAGGGGCTCCAGGCCCTGAACAAGCCCATGGCGGAGCAGTGCTTCAGGAGCTGCAGCCTGGGGGAAGGCCACCCAGGACCAATTCAGGAAGGATGGCATCCCATGGGAGGAACCCCATGTGCAGCAGGAGCAGCAAGCAACCGTGGAGGAATGGCGGAGACAAAGCAGCCTTCATTCTCTATTCACATGATTTGCTCGAGCGGAGGAGGAAGAAGAATTGAAACCAACACTGAAGTTGAGTCAGGGAAGAATAAGGTGCAGGAAAAGGATTTTTAGTTCTAGTTTTCCCTTTCTTACTCTCTCACTAATTAGAAATAAGTTAATCTTGCACAAGTTAAGTCTGCTCTACCTGACACAGCTCCAAAAATCAGCATTTTACACACCATTAAGAAGGATCAGGCAGTACCACCAAAAATAAGAAACAGCCAGCAATACTACGGTTTGACAGCAGCTTGCACATACAGATGTCAGCTATGACATGACACTTCCTCTACCCAGGTTCTTCCTGGCCATCTTTCCCTTTCCCATTGCTTTTCCACCTTAATTTCCTCGGCCACTGGATTCTCAGCACTTACATATAAGTTCATGTGGTCAATAAGTATCAATTTCTTCTTCAAAACATCACAGGAGGGCAAAATGAAAGGGGGGAAAATGCCACATATTGACACCTGCCTATGAGCCCTTTCCTCTCTTCTGGAAGACTGTTCTATGCTGCATTTTATCCAACAGGTAGTCAGGCACTATCTAACACTCTCGGACGTAACAGTGGCATAGGTAACACACAGCAGTCCTGCGGGGGGACTTTACAAACTCCACAAGACAAGCCACCTCAAAAAAAGCATGCCAGGAGCTTTGATAACTTAGTGCAAATAAACATTCCCTATTTCCTCCCAGACTTACTGTGCCCTGTAACAATGCAGGATACACTAGATTAGGTGCAGCATTTTACAGTTAAGTTTCCACACATTTGCAGCAAACAAGACTGGATGCCAACTCACCCCTTACTTTTAGATATCAAACCAAGAGACTGGCACAACCGGTGAACATAGGCTCTTTCGGTAGAAGTAAAAGACGAAGGAAACGCCATCTCTGCAAAGATAACGAAGAAAACAAACGTAGCACCTACACCACACCACTTCGAAGGCGCGAGTTCTCAGAGCCCCTCATCTTTACGGCCTCCCGCCGCAGGACGGCGGCAACTCGAGACACCGCACCCGCGCACACGCCAACCAATGCTGCCGCCCGCAGGCTTGGGCCCGCGCCCCGCCGACACACCTCCACCAGAACCCCACCTTGATCATCGCTGTACAAAAACCGTTCCAGCGCCAGGTCCAACGCGATCTCCAATTCCTCGGAGACGCGGGCATCCGCCAACGTCTTGCCGCGGCCCGACGCGGAGGAGGAAGCGGCCGAGCGTGCAGACGCGAAGGCAGAGGCGTACCCTGCGGCCCCGTCGTGCTGCTGCGGGGAGGCGCTCCTGGGAGAGGACATGGCTCGCTGCGGAGAGAGAGACCCAGGCAGTCAGTGGGAACTGACACGACGCAAACGCCGGCGACGACCACAAAATAACACGCATCCGAGCCGCCGGCAACGGCTAAACCAGCGCCTGCGCGCCGGAGTCGGGCAGCGTCGTTCCGTCAGCGCGCGAGGCGGGGCGCAAGTAAGGAGCCGTAGCGCCCCGCCTCTCGCCCGCAGGCCGTGCTACGCGGGGGGCGCGTCTGGTCTTTAGCGTCCCGAGGGCCTTCGCCGGTAGGGGCCGGCTGCTTTGTCTTTGTTCCCTTCGTGAAGAGCCTCTCGCAGGTCGTAGAAAGGCCGCCACACGGCTGCGGGTGGCTTTTGTCTCGGCCCTTCGTAGCGCTAGCACTGGAAGCTTTTTGACAGAAGGAGTAGAATCACTGAAATGTTCCTTCAGGAGTAAAGGGGCGCCGGTATGAGGGGCGGGAGTTTTAGTACTATTATTGTCAGCTTCACTGATACTTCACTGAGACTGGCCAGGGTAACCCACCTTGCTAAACTGGGAAAGAGCACAAAAGAGGGCCTTGCTGGTATCTTGAGTACAGTTAGCAGTGCGGTGTGCCCATGCAGGCATCTGTGAAGATGCCTAAGTATTGGTTAGGGGTTAGAATCATGGAATTCTAGAATCAAAGAGTAACCCAAGTTGGAAGGGACCTGTAAGGATCACCAAGGTCAACTCCTCGCTCCACGCTGGACCACCCAAAATTCACAGTCTGACTGCATGGATCAAACACTTCCTGAACTCTGGCAGCTAAGGGCAATGCCCGCTGTCCCGGGCAGCCTGCTCCATGCCCACTGCCCTCTAGTGAAGAACCTTTCCCTAACATAGAATCATGGAATCACAAGGTTGGAAAGGACCTTCAAGATCACCTAGTCCAACCATCCTCCCATTACCATTGCTACCACAAGCACTAAACCATATCTCGCAGCTCCTCATCCAGATGCCTCTTGAACGCTGCCGGTGATGGCGACTCCACCACCTCCCTGGGCGGCCATTCCAGTGCCTGATTACTCTCTGAGAGAAAAAGTTCTTCCTCATGTCTAATCTAAATCTCCTCTGGTGCAACTTGGGGCCATTTCCTCAGGTCCTGTTTGTTGCCTAGAAGAAGAGGCCAGACCCCACCTCATCACAGCCTCCCTTCAGGAAGTTGTAGAGTGCAATGAGGTCTCCCTTGAGCCTCCTCTTCTCCAGACTGAACAAGCCCAGCTCCCTCAGCCTCTCCTCATAAGACTTGTGCTCCAGACCCCTCACCAGTTTCTTCGCCATTCTCTGGACATGTTCCAGGGCCTCAATGTCTTTCTTGTAGTGAGGGGCCCAAAACTGAACACAATACTCGAGGTGCGGCCTCACCAGTGCTGAGTACAGGGGATGCTCACCTCCCTGCTCCTGCTGGCCACACTATTTCTAATGCAGGCCAGGATGCCGTTGGCCCTCTTGGCCACCTGGGCACACTTTTGGCTCATGTTCAGCCAAGCATCAACCAACACCACCAGGTCCCTTTCCTCTTCACAGTCATCCAGCCACTCTGCCCCAAGCCTATAGCGTTACATGGGGTTATTGTGGCCAAAATGCAGGACCCGGCACTTGGTCTTGCTGTACCTCATCCCATTCACCTCAGCCCAGCATTCCAGCTTCTCTAGATCCCTCTGAAGGGCCTTCCTACCCTCAGGCAGATCGACACCACCTCCCAGCTTGGTGTCATCTGCAAACTTACTGAGGGTACGCTCAATCTCTTCATCTAGGTCATCAGTAAAGATGTCAATCAAGATGGGCCCCAGTACCGACTCCTGGGGGACATGACTTGTAATGGGTCACCAGCTGGACTTAACTCCATTAACCACTACTCGTTGAGCATGGCCCTCTAGCCAGTTCCTTACCCAAAGAAGGGTAACCTGTCCAGGCCCATGGCAGCCAGTTTCCCCAGGAGAAGCCTGTGGGAGACCGTGTCAAAGGCTTTGCTGAAGTGTAGGTAGGCAACATCTTCAGCCTTTCCCTTGTCTACCAGTCTGGTCACCCAGTTGTAGAAGGTTGGTCAAGCATGACCTACCTTTCGTGAACACATGTTGGCTGGGCCTGATCCCCTGGATGCCACATGTGTGCCATGTGATCTCACCCAAGATGATGTGCTCCGTAACTTTCCCTGGTACTGAGGTCAGGCTGACAGGCATGTAGTTCCCCAGATCCTCCTTACTGCCCTTCCTGTAGATGGGAGTCAATCCTCTGGGACCTCTCCAGATAATCAGGGGTGCTGGTAGATGGTGGAGAGTGGCTCTGCAGTCACCCCCGACAACTCCCTCAGCACTCTAGGGTGGAGCCCCGTCCGGTCCCCTGGGCTTGTGACAGTTCAGATGGAGGAGGAGCTCTCTAACTGTCTAACCGGGGTGTATTCTGTGTAGCATCCCAGGCTTCCAGATCAGGGCTAAAGTGCCCTGAGGATAACTGATCTGCCTATCAAAGGCAGATGTAAAGAAGGCATTGAGGACCTCAGCCTTCTCAACATCCTCCCTGCCCCTCCCCTGACCCAGCTCCATGCCCTTCTCTCAGGCCCTGTCGCTGTCACAGGGAGCAGAGCTCAGCGCAGCCCCTCTGCTCCATGTGAGGAGCTGCAGCTACCATCACGCTTCCTCAGCTCCTCTGCTCTGGGCTGAACAAACCAGGGGACTTCAGCTGCTCCCATATTACGTCTTTCCTTTCAGACTTTTCACCATTTCTGTAGCACTCCTTTGGACTCTCTAAGAGTCTTGGTCTTTAGATTGTGGCACCCATATGTGCACTCAGTGCTCAAGGTAAGACTGTACCAGTGCAGTGTAGAGTGGGACTGTCTTTTCCCTCAACTAGCTAGCAATGCCACCCATGTTTGATGCACCCTAGCATGCAGCTGACATACTGGCTGGCAGGGCACACTGTTGAATCATGTTCAAGTTGCTGTCAAAATAGACCCCAGATCCTTTTCAGTGTAGCTGCTCCCCAGTTTGTACACATAGCCAGGATTTCCTCATCCCAGGTACAGAATCTGGCACTTCTTCTTGTTAAATTTCAGACGGTTGATGATTTCCCAGCTCTCTAATTTGTCTCGATCTCTCTACAAAGCCTCTCCACCCTCAACAGAGTCAACAGCTTTTCATTCATTATTATCAGCAAACTTGCTTAGAACGCCTTCTAGTCATAGAACCATAGAATCAAAGTGTAATTTGGGTGGGAAGGGACATTCAAGATCATCTAGTTCCAACTCCCCTGCTACACGCAAAGACACCTACCTCTAGACAAGGTTGCTCAAAGTCCCATCCAGCCTGGCCTTGAACGCTTCCAGGGAGGAGCATTCACAACCACTCTGGGCAACTGTTTCAGTGTCTCACCACCCTCACCCTCACAGTAAAGAATTTCTTCCTAAAACCTAGTCTAAATCTATCCTCTTTCAGTTTAAAACTATTTTGTTTGTCCTGTCACTACACACCTATATAAAATGCCCCTCCCCAGCTTTCCTGTAGGCCTCCTTCAGGTACTAGAAGACCACTATAAGGTACGCAGAGTCTTCTGTTCTCTAGCCTGAAGAGCCTGTGCAGTCCAGCCCCTCCATGACTTACAGTGCCACCACTGCTCCTCTTCTGTCCTGTCTGTCTCTTCCCAAGAGCCTGTAACTGGTTACCAGACTCCTCCCACCAGATTTCACATATTTCAATGACATCATAGATCTGGGAACTGAGACAAGGCTTCCAGATATTCTTGCTTGTTCTGCATGCTGCGTGCATGGGTGTTGAAGCACTTCAGATGTGCTTTATTGTACCCAGCACCTTGTGGAGCATACTGAAAGATCTCACTAGCATACTGTCCCTCTCATTATGGTGAGATGTCCCATAGTTTATAACTACTTGACCAGGTTTTATCTACTTCCCTCTTCAAATCTACTTTTAAGCCCTCTTGATCAGTCCTGCTAACTCCAATGCAAAATTCCTTTTCTGAGAAAGGTGCGTTCTAGCAGAGAAAGGTGCACCTAACAGGCACCAGCAGGCCTGATGTCATGTAGACCTTCCCATGACCAAGAAACCCATGAGTTTTCAAATCATCAAATTCATCTCTGTCCAGCTAAGGGATAAGGATGTTTTGTGGGACCTTGTCACAGGCCTTGCAGAAGACCAAGTAAATTACATCAGTTATTCTTCCTTTCTCCATTGTAGAAGGCCGTCAGATTGGTCAGGTATTGATCTGCCATTGGTGAGGCCATGCTGCCTGTCTCAGAATAACTCCTTATCTTGCATGTGCCTTGACATAGCTTCCAGGAGGATCTGTTCCATGATCTTCCCAGGCACAGAAATGATGCTTACTAGACTGTTGTTTCTTGGGTCTTCCTTTTTATCCTCTCTAAAAATGTTTCTCTTCTACTCATCAGTCTTCACCTGACAGCCATGCCTTTTCTAAAGGACCTGGACATAACTAACCCCTACTGGTCTTTCCTTCCATTGCTAAGCAATGGGGGGAAAAAAAAAAAAAAAGGAGGAGATGGAAACAATGGTGCAACAAGAAAGCTATGACCTAACATGCTATCAAAAAAACAAAGTGCAATTAATCACAGAACTGGAACACCACAACTGAGAGCTACAAGCTTTTTAGAAGAGACAGCAAGGGCAAAAGGGGTGAGGGAGCTTCCCTCCGTGTTAAGAAGTGGATAGATTGTGAAGAGCTGCCTCTGAGAAAGAGCCCCAAGCAGGCTAAGAACCTGTAGGTAAAAAGTAGGGAAATAAATTCCTTCCTGGCAGCGGCGGCGGCCAAGGTAAGAAGCCCCGCCGCACCACCGAGCGGGATTGCGCCTCCATAGGGAGGCCGAGCCCCCCTCGGCAGCGTGTCGGCGCCTCTCGGCTGGCCTCGCCGCTGCGTCCCACACACATGGCGGAGAGATGGCGGCCCGGGGCCCTTTCTCATGTTCTATTTGTAAGAAAGGGAGCAAGGAGGACCTGGGGAACTACAGCCCAGTGGATCTCACCTCTGTGTCTGGGAAGATCATGGAACAGACCCTCCTGGATGGCATGCTTGATGACATGAGGAATGAACATGTGATCCATGAACAGCAAGAGCGGCTGCACCAGGGGAAGGCCATGCTTAACCAATCTG